GCCTGTGATTCAACCGTAGGTCAGTAGGGGGCGAACTCAGGCATTGAAGAATCATGTATAAAAAGATGAACTTCCTGACTCAGTCAGTGTGGTTTCCTTGTCAGCCCGGTGACAAATAAACCTCACTCAGGTCCAGAATTCTGGTGTTGTATGACTTTATTCCTTTCACAAATCATTTTATTTAACAATTGTGTTTTCATCTTGACTTCAGTCGTATTGAACACGTATTTTCTTACACATTTTTTTTTATATTTACATGCAGACATTCCCCTTTGACATCACTTCCTGTTATTTCACATGTAAATATCTCAACAACCGTTCATCTGAACAACGTGAAATTTGTTTTGTAAAATGTTAATAATGTTGTCATATCAAAAATGCATTAACTGTTCTTACAAACTTTCATGTCACAGGCACTTTAAGGTTTCATCTACAGAAAATTGGGGTTAAGACCCCACTGTGGGTCCTAAAACTCCAAATTTTGGGTCATTAAACTGAGTGCTAAAAACGTTTTTGCTACATTTGACAAAAAAGCAGTTAGATATGGATAAAAACAATTGGTCTATTAGCAATATTTGAATACTTCAACCAAAAATACTTTGATTTGTCATTTTTGTGTTTATTATGAAATTAGTTGGCATTAAAACGTCTTAAAAAGTCTTAAATTGAACTTGCTTTAAACTGTAGGAACCCTGAAAAAGCCTCCGAAACTCCAGATATGAACCTGTTGTTGTTCGTAACAACTTAACGAAGCTATCTGTCACAAAAACACTTTGGTCTTATTTTTACAAATTTACAAACACAGTTTGACAGAGTTTTATCACCAACAATGAGAATGTGATGATTAGCAGAAAAAATTAGATTTTGGCTGGATTTTTTTTCTTAAACACGTGATTTTCTGCCACTGTCCCATCTGCTGCAGATATACAGTATATTTAATATATTTCCTCTGCCCTTCACCTGCCTGCTTTCCTCACACTGCCCAATACGTCAGGTTGGAACTGGACTGAAAATCAGTGAAAAARCAGCCAAMGTCCGAGGAGAATCTGTGGAAAAACCTCCCAGAAAACCTGGAGAACTGCTGATGGAGACCACTTTAATAGATTATAGGAACTGTTTGGGAGCAAAGTGGAAACTTATTGGGTGCATTTTCAAATGTTTGAGCAGTTGTGTGTGTGTGTAAAATTGCACAGTAAAACCTGTAACAGTAAAAACTGCAAACAGCTCCATTAGAACTTGATTGGAGGATAAATGATGACACAGTTTGTTATTGACGCACAGATTATACAGGTTTTCTTTTCTTTGTAAAGCGGGAGCAGGTAGGATTGTGTTGATGCTGCGTTGTCTCTGCAGTGGACTCCATCACCGACGTGTACACGGTGAGGCAGCTGAAGGAGAAGGCCAAAGATCACCCCGAGGTCTTCTTCGGCATCACGTACAGCTTCATCTCCAAACTGGACCTGGACTCATCCGTTTCAAAGGTCGTCAGGASGCGTTGGTGCGTTCCGTCTTCTTTAATTTCAGCGTTCCTYTGCTCAGAGCCCTGGGGTCTCATTTATAAAGGATTGCGTGGAAACCATACTAAAAGTGARCGTACGGCCAAAAGGTGGAAATGGCGTACGCCCAAAAAAAATTCAGATTTATAAAACCATGCGTACGCTTTTTTCACTGCATTTTCCCTTTATAGATCACAGCTGTGCCTCATAATTTGCGCACAAGGTTCCGCCTCAGGTTCTGCCCTCTACACGCCCACACTCAACCATAAACAGTCAATACAAAGTACCTCATGAATGTAAAGATGTATTTAAATCAGTCAGATGATCAATGTCAAAAAAAGCGATTGGCAGGTTCAGACTCGCGCTCTGTCGTGCGTCTGGAGGATGACAGGTGCTGAATGACAGCTGCTCACATGAACAGAATGTCTGTAACTGACAGATTTTCCCTGATTTTGCAAGTTTACAGATGTTTAGAGCAATCTAACGACTTTTATCAAAAACTCAGCTTCATATTAATTTTCTCTCAGAGCCTGCAGGACGATAAAAACAATAAATAAAATTAAATGTCAGATAAACTTAGAAATAATTTCACCACTTGTCTCCCCGTCCTCCCCCTCCTCTGTTATCTGCGGCAGACCCCCTTCCCAACACACACACGTGCGCGCACATCCCCCACTGCGCGTGACAAATACGGACTCTAAAAAAGCAAAGTTTTATACTAACATCCACAGTGGTGAGGGTGGACGCGCCCTGCGCGTACCCAAAGCGTGATGCTGTGTTGTTGAAATGTGTCTTGTCGGGGAGGGGTCTGTGGGTTAGGGTCGTGAAGAGGAGGAAAGAAATTAATGTTTTGTGTAAACTTTTATTTAAGATTTAAGTTTTTATTTAAAAGCTCCTCATGGCTCAGCAGCAGCAGAAGCATAAATTATACTGTTAAGAAAGCTGATGATAAAGTTGAATAAAAATCTAAGTCTGATTCTGAAGGTAAATTAAATATCTGACAGTGATCATTACACAGTGTGGCTATAATTCCTCACTTCACCATCTGTGTCGCAGTTTCACGTCTCCAAAATGAGCGTACGCATGGGTCAGAGCTGGCGTGAGGCTCCGCACATTTTCACGTCAAGTTTGGATTTTATAAATCACAACCTTTGCATGAAAAGTGGTGTACGCAAGTTTCTGGGCTCATATTGTGCGTACGCAAGTTTTATAAAACCGACCCCAGATCACTCACTTCTTCCTGCCTCAGCTCCAGATGTAGGTACCAGGTGGCGGAGGACACGCAGACCTGCACCAACCAGCTGTGTCCGGGGAGAGATCAGGCTCTTTCAGCCTCCGCAGGCTTCGACCTGCTGGTGGACTTCACGGACCACTCCGGCACCCTGCAGGCCTGCAGCCTCCGAGGCCCCGTGGCAGAGCAGACGCTCGGCTGCACGGTCAGTGCCGCTTTCAAATGTTTACTTCCTAAAGATTATTAACACCAACAGCTCCTTACTCTGCTGCAGACAGAGGAGTTCACCAGACTGACCGATGATCAGCGAACCACGCTGAAGTGGAGATTTCTTTTGGAGAGGTGTAAAATCTACGTGAAGGTATTGTACGTTTTGATCAGGTCGTTACAGAAACCAAACGCATGTTCATGAGCTCGTGTGACGTGTCACAGATCCTGCCGTCTACACGGACGAAGAGCGGGATCAGAGGGACGATCCTGTCCTGCTCTCTGGCTGATCCTGGAGAGGTGAAGCAGAACATGTCCGCTCTGCTGCAGCAGCTTTAATCAGCAGAAACAGGAAGTCACGTCTGTTTCAGGGATTTGGTTTTCCCACAGTTTGGTCATGTTCAGACCACAAACAACAGGTGATGTTTAAATACGTAGATTTATTATTACTATTCTATGTTATTTATTTAACTTATTTATCTTAATGTATTTATTCCAAATGAGTTGTTAAACTGTTAATTTATACATATGTTGAATAAAGTTGTTTTAAAGCAGCATCATGTGCAAAATGTGCTTATTAGCAATTGTTGCTTTATCAAATTTAATGGGAAGCCAGGGTTTAAAAGATATAGCCCACATTATTTTCTGAATAAACTGTCGTCAATGAATTGAAAATAGAAGGCTTTTACCTTAAAACGGCCAATATTTAACATTGATAATGTCACATAATAAAATTGAAATGAGCTGTAAAGCTGAAATCTGAAGACAAAAATGCGTATAAATAAAGATTAAATCAAGTGTAGAAAAAATAATCTGAGTTTATTTCAAACAACAACAAAAAAGTAGACACTGGGTAAAACCAAAATTAAATGAAATTCAAAAAGGACAAATGATATGAACAGAGAGGTTGACAATAAGGTCAAAAATGAGGGTACATTTTAGATTTTAACATTAAAAATGAATTTTATTGCATTTTGTAGACCTGTTATCATTTATTTTCATATTATTTATGGGCCTATTTTCTACTTCCAACTGAGACATGCTTTATTAATCCTCAAAGGGAAATTGTTTGGCTTCATAAAAATATAAAAGCAAGATTAAATGAAATTTTATAAAGTATTCCGTTTAAACAGCAGCTTAATAACAATGGAACATTAAACAAATTAATATTAAGTTTAGTTTTAGTAATTTTAGTCTTTCAACATAGAACACGACCAACAATAAATAAAACACATTGTTAAATTGTTTTCTTGATGTTTTCCAGTAGATTAAAAAACACACGTCCGGTGTTTTTTTTAGTCTGTTTTACATGTAATGATAAAAACCTACCAGCAGGTGGCAACAAGACACAGTTTAACAAAGCGGAACTCTTTGTACCGATTTGAAGTTTCCGTGGGACGTTTTACTGAGACGTACCTCGTCTGTATCATCGCTAAAGGGTAATGTAAACAAAAGAGAAATGTTTATCAGACATTGTGGTTTTGTTATAAGAAATGTTTTTCAATRTTTGAATTGCAAAGCTTTAGCATCAGCTAGCCTTCCATGCTAACGTTTTTTTTTTCAGCTTTTCTTTTTCTCCGGCTTTGCAACAGAGTCAGCTAACTGTAACAGGGTGATTTATTTCTTATAGAGTCTACCAGTCGGCAGTGGAAACATGAATGTGAATCAAGGGACGGTGGGCAGCGACCCGGTCATTCTGGCCACGGCGGGGTATGACCACACTGTCCGGTTTTGGCAGGCCCACAGCGGGATATGCACCCGCACCGTCCAGCACCAGGATTCTGTATCCTCACCACTGAAACATGAACTTTTAACTCTTACAACTTGATTTCAGAAAGGAGAGCTGTGATATAATGAAAGACAATATATTTTTTACTCATTGTTTGACTCCTACATTTCTTTAAGGAAGGTACAAATCTGTATTTTAACACTTTCTTTAATGTTGACCACCAGCAAGTAAACTCCCTCGAAGTCACGCCTGACAGAAGTATGATTGCAGCTGCAGGTTGGTTTCAAGCTTCCTAGCAGTTCTTTCTCTCGCATGTTACATTTTTTTTTTTTTACTGCAGCCTTCTCTCTTTTATGCTCTGCTTCGAAGGATATCAGCATATCCGCATGTACGACCTGAACTCCAACAACCCAAACCCTGTGATCAACTACGACGGGGTCAGTAAGAACATCACGTCTGTGGGCTTCCACGAGGACGGACGCTGGATGTACACGGGAGGAGAGGACTGCATGGCTCGCATCTGGGACCTGAGGTTAGTGACCGTTGGCCTCAAAGTGTGTTTGATAGGCTGGGAGTTTGACTAATGTCGTTTTTATTTAGATCAAGAAACCTGCAGTGTCAGAGAATCTTTCACGTAAACGCTCCAATTAACTGTGTGTGTCTGCATCCCAACCAGGTGAGCTGCTCGTTAATGACGTGGGTGATCACATACATTTTAATAGTTCTGCTCATAACATAGAATATATAAATCTCCGTCATGCATGTTTTGTTTTTGTTTTGTTTTTCAGGCTGAGTTGATCGTCGGAGACCAGAGTGGAGTGATTCATATCTGGGATCTGAAAACGGACCATAATGAGCAGCTGATTCCAGAGCCAGAGGTCTCAATCAACTCTGTCCACATCGATCCAGATGCCAGTTACATGGCAGCAGTCAACAGCTCGGTCAGTGGGCGAACACAGAACATTTTGTTTATTTAAAAAGACAAAATATCTGACATGATTGGTTGAATTGTTCTCACCAGGGAAACTGTTACGTGTGGAACCTGGCCGGAGGGATGGGAGATGAAGTGACTCAGCTCATTCCCAAAACTAAGATCCCAGCACACAAGCGCTACTCGCTGCGCTGCAAATTCAGCCCAGACTCCACGTGAGCGATGCTTTACGATGCTTTGGAGCCACGGCCTGCGTTTTGGAGGGAGATCGAAGGTTTGCTCAGCGCCAAACTTTCTGACCTCTTGCTTCTTTTTCGCCCTCACCTCCAGACTGCTGGCCACCTGCTCGGCAGATCAGACCTGTAAAATCTGGAGAACGTCCAATTTCTCGCTGATGACGGAGCTGAGCATCAAGAGCAACAATCCTGGCGAGACGTCCAGGGGCTGGATGTGGGATTGTGCGTTCTCAGGAGACTCTCAGTACATTGTTACAGGTCGGTGTCAGGGTTATTATAGTGAACTAAAACTAACTAAATAACGACAACTGAAATTGAAAAAAAACATTTTAGTTAACTAAAAAAACTGTAATAAAATGAAAAAACGATTACTAACTAAAACTTTATAATCTTTTTACAAAACTAACTAAAACTAACTGAAATTATAGAGAGAATATCCTTAGCTTTAGTGTTTTGTGAGTTTATTTTGAGCCATGTGGATCTTTTATTTAATCAAGCAGTTTCACATTAGCTGTGGACCATAATAACACTTGTTTACAGTCTGCTGCTGCTCAGCATCTTCTGCTAAATGACGACAACAAAAGTTGGGAGAAAGCAGGCAGCACTTTGGGGTTTCTTTGAATATGACTGTGAGAAAAACAAAAGCAAGTGTCTTGTAGTGGAAACAGGTGATAAAACAGGTGGAATACTTCTTAAGGGAAAAACTGCTTGAATCAAACTCACACAAGATGGCTAACTTTGACTACCTAGCTTCTCTCAGTAGCTCCCATGAAAAACAAGCACCAGATAGCACCAGGTTGGAGACAACTATTTTCATTGTCCTAAAATAATCAACCAAGTTTTTAGTTGGCAAAATTAAGTTACGCAATTGTTTTAGGAAGGTGTTGCTATAATGGACTGATTTAACTAGTGACCAAACAGTTGTTGGTTAGTTAACTCACAGGAACATAACAGGCTTGAGGATGCATTAGCAAATATGTTTATTCAAACTATAAAAAAACTAATACTGCAACTAATAAAAACTAAACTAAACTAAAACTAAACATTAAAGTGCAATAATAACTAATAAAAACGAGCTAATCCACGCTAAAAACTAATTAAAACTAAATTAAAAGAAGAAAAGTCAAAACAAAATAAAGCTAAACTATAATTAAAAATCCTAAACTATTATAACCTTGGTTGGTATGCAAGCCCTGGAAAATGGGTGAGCACTGAAATATGAATCCACTTTACATTTTTACTTGATAGTTAAGGGCACCAGCTCATTTTTGGTCATAGCTTTCAATCTATTTCTCCTCTCACAGCTTCAGAAAACCTTATATATCTACATCAGAATGAGCATCTTGATCAGGAACAGTGTGCTGTGATTTTTGTTGTTGTCTTGAAATTTGCAAAAAAAAACTGCTCAACTTGCTATTGATGATGTCCAACTTTTGTTGTCTAAAGTTTCAAAAGTTTTGCAAACTTTTCTCACTCTCATATTTTTACATTTCATTTTGTCCATCAAACATCTGCACTTTGTCAACTGAGTTTATCTCAAACGTCCCAAATTATTWTTGTGCTTTAGAGAGAAAAGTTAAAGGATTTGGCATTACAACCCTTGGACATTTCRTTAGAAGTTTTCAAATGTAATGTTCTTGTGAAAAAAGTGTTCATAATCCTTTGGAATTATTGTCAATGTTAGGCTGTAAACTTTAAAGTTAAAGTATTATTTTTTATAAAGCACCCTTCATTCTAAAAGTAGCTCAAGGTGCTGTACAAAATTATACACAATAAACCCACAATATAAAAACAAACATTACTGTTCCTTCCCCCAACACAGCAGCAACAACAACTACAGAGAATTGATCCAGTTCAGGAAAAGCAGGTAAAAAGATGGGTCTTAAGCTTGCTCTTAAAAACAATAACATTCTCTGCAGCCCTCAAGTTTCTTCGGCAAATTAAAATATTTTAGTTTTTTAGCAGTTACACAACAGTAAATCGGACTTTCTTAAAGTATTTTTCCTAAAGGACCTGTCCTGCTATAAGGTTTTAGACAGCTCCATTTCATTTAAGTCATTCATAAAAACAACAAAACATCCATTAAAAAAGGAAACACTATAAATCCATTATTGAATGAAAAAGGTGCAGAAAGAAGAGAAAAATCGTAAAATATCTTCCCCTTTATTAAAAACAACTTCAAACAAACAACAACTTCATCTTGAACAATCTTGTTTGAGAACAAAATAACATCAGGAATCCTGTGATAGCTTCACTAAACACCACATAGCACCATACTTTCCCAATAAATTTAACTTCAACTGTTTAAACAAATAAACTGTTGTGGAAGTTTTTATGTTAATATAAAGATTATTCCACAAACTGCCTGAATTACCGCGCAGAGCTCCTTCAAACTAGTTAGCTTCTGCTGACTTGTGACATTTTTTATGACTAAAATACTCCTATAGGTACGGAGCACRTCCAGTGACATTGGTTTAAAAAATAATAATATGTGGTCACAAGGTAATTATTGCAATCATTTGCATGCAGAGACTTTAGATTTTTAACCTGGACAAGTTTGAATTGAATTAATTTAATTTTAATGTAGGAATGAATGATGTCAGGCATGACGTAATTCTTAGCATTATATGTTGCAGCTATAAGATACAGATAACTGGAGTTGTCTTTGTCTATTTCTTTTTTGCAGGAGTTGGAGTTGTCGTTTTCAGGAACACAGTAAAAAAATCTGTTTCCCGACACACACCTGTGTAATCAATGTCGCCTCTGAAACACGAGGATTATGAAAAATGAACCGTTCAGTTTAAACACAGTGTGTGTTTCTAGCCTACATAATCTGACTCTAACGATGTCTGTACCTCTCACAGAGAGACTAAATTCACTGCTCGAAATTATCTCACGGCCACACACACTTTAATTTTTTAATCCGGTGTCACTGGACGAGCTCAGTGTAAGTTATGTATTTGATCAACATCTTAGCATTACAGTATGGAAACATCCAAATAAGGTTTCCAGTATTTTTTTTATTCCRTCTTCAACACAAACATCTTTAGTGTTGTTTATGTCATCAGTGTAACAGGACCCTTGAACTACGGTTGGGCGATATGACGATTAAAAGATGACAACTGCACTTGTATGTTTTTGACTCTAAGGCAGTCACTCTGTGTTCYAAAACTGTATTAACCAATCAAACTATTTCATTTTAGCAGGTTAAATCAGTGAGCTGTGAATTAAAACCTACCTCTTCCACAATGTGGAGTGGCAGCAGATCTTTAGTAATGCAATATATTATCACGGGCTCACATGTGCAATTGATAGTGAGAGTRCATCGCACAAAAATACATCATCATGTGACACTAACTGCAGTAAATGCAAAGTAGCTAATATTAATCGTTGGCGATTAATTGCACATGATACCATTTTGCCCAACCCTGCCTTGAACTCAACATTTCAAGCTCTCAACCAGTGTTGAAATGTTAGATAAGTTTTGTTCTTGTTGGTTTCCTGTACTTTCACATTCAAAGTATAAAAACACAGGAGCGTTAAATTTGATCAAATAAGKACTCTTTAAAACGCTGCTGAACAATTCAAGAGAAAAAAGTTGTCTTTTCTTTCTTCTTTTATGTTGCGTTTGTGTCTACAGCGTCTTCAGACAACCTCGCACGCCTGTGGTGCGTGGAGACCGGCGAGATCAAGAGGGAGTATAGTGGGCACCAGAAGGCCGTGGTGTGCCTGGCCTTTAATGACAGCGTGCTCGGCTGAAGGGGAGGAGCCACGGAGCAGGAGCGTGGAGCAGTGAAGGGATGCAAAGCGTGACGGACTCCTTAAAGAGTGTGTTTCAGGTGTGAGAGGAGCAGTGAAGCAACACGACCACACTTTAAAGTGCCTGTGACATCCTTCAAATACAAAAAGTCAAAGAAAGCATCTTTATACTTAAGAAAATTGGCATGGTACACATGATTTTACCCATTTTGTCACATAACTGGCCTATTTTCTTTTAAATTTGGCTCAACCAAAGTGAAACAGGAAGTGACATCAAAGGAGAACTCATTAATAAAATAAACTCGCTGGTCTCGGTTTATTAAAACAAAATTATTAAAACTTTAACTCTTCATCTCTCTTTGATAGCGACTAAAAATAATCTAAAGAAACATCAGATTCTTCTCTACAGTCTGTGTTGTTAGCTTTTGTAACAACGCCCTGTTAGCATGCTGACATTCCCCTTTGACATCACTTCCTGTTCCTTCACATGCCAATATCTCAACAACTGTTCATCTCAGCGACGTGAAATTAGTTTTGCAATATGTTATCAATGGTATCTTTCCAAAAATGCATTCATGTTTATTACAAAAATTTGATGTCACAGGCACTTTAAAGTCACAATTTAAAGACCCACCATAAGAACCAAGCATGGGTTTTTTTTTTTGTTTGTTTTGTTTTTTTTGCAGAAAACTCAGCAGTCATTCAGTATAAATCCAAACTTGGTGCAAGGTGCACAGCTGTCCTGATGATCCCATTAGGGAAACAGTCATRTGAAAAAAAAATTAAATATTATCTTTTTTATTACTAATAAAGAAAAAAATACCCACAGTGTGTGTTTTTAGATAAAACTATGCTATACTACACTATAGAAAACAAATCATTTGTCTAAAAAAAGAAAAAGAAGTCCTTCTCTATTTCTTAAATTAGCTTGTCTTTTTTTTTTTCTGTCTTCAATAGTCTGACAATCCATGACTTTTTTTGCATTGAAAGGGGGCAAATAAAAAGACATAAGTCTCCCTCTTCTGTTTATTTTTTTATTAGACTTTTGGGAGAAACAGAACCCAGAGTCACTCGGGCAGGTAGTAGAAGCACACAGACACACAGATGTTGCTGGGAAAACAGATGTCGATGCAGAAGTAGACCAGCCTCTGTTTGCCTGGGCCTGAGACAAAACAACACAACAGTTAATTTAAAACAGGAAACTGAAATTGATTTTTTTTTTGTTGTTTGTTTCTATTTAAAATCTGGAAACTCAGTCAAATAGGAACAGAACTGGTCACAATGACGGACTTGTGTAGTTGTTTCAAATAACCTGAACTGTGATAATTACTCCGCATGTCCTGGAAGGTTAAAAAAATGAGCAGCAGCATGATGTGTGCTGCTGAGTGAGGACAGAAAGATGTGAATGAGAAGGTTTCAGTCCGTAGAAAGGAGTTCGGTTTCAGTTTGACTCTGGACTCGTTTCATGAACAGACTAATGCTTTTATCCCATATTTATGATAATTAAATGGTCATTATTAGTTTGTTGTTGCTTTTTGGGCCTGACAAAAATACCTGAGCTGTAGTTCTTACCTTGGAGGAAGGAGGAATAATAACTTCCAAGCATTTTTTTTACTTTTTTGTTTTATTTATTTAATTTTTTTTTATTTTTTACAGAAAACTGTTAAATTGGCAAAAAGTAACTTTGTTGCAAGTTATTAATTTTGACCAAATGATGTTTTGCTTTCAAGAGCAGACACAATCTAATCTACTTAATTATAAAAACAACCTTTTACCCCCAAAATTTACAGTTTCTTAAAAAAAAACTTATCCAAAACCAAGTTTAATTTCTTTCTTGAACCTGATGTTCTGCAAAAGGCATCACATTTAAAGCTTTACAAATTTCATGGTGTACATATAACCACATACACACATAAGGCAAAATAAAGATGTAATATTTGGGAAGAACGGAGCGGGAGATCGACAGGCGGATTGGTGCTGCGTCTGCAGTGATGTGGGCGCTGTACCGGTCTGTCGTGGTGAACCGAGAGCTGAGCCAGAAAGCGAAGCTCTTGATTTACCGGTCGGTCTACGTTCCTACCCTCATCTATGGTCACAAGTTTTGGGTAGTGACTGAAAGAACGAGATCGCTGATACAAGCGCCTGAAATGAGTTTCCTCTGCAGGGTGGCTGGGCTCTCCCTTAGAGATAGGGTGAGAAGCTCAGTCATCCTGGAGGGACTCAGAGTAGAGCCGCTGCTCCTCCACGTCGAGAGGAGCCAGTTGAGGTGGCTCGGGCATCTGATAAGGATGCCTCCTGACGCCTCCCTGGTGAGGTGTTCTGGGCACGTTCCACTGGGAGGAGGCCCAGAGGAAGACCCAAGACACGCTGTAGAGACAATGTTTCTCGGCTGGCCTGGGAACACCTTGGGATTCCCCCAGATGAGCTGGCCCAAGTGGCTGGGGAGAGGGAAGTCTGGGTCTCTGCTTAGGCTGCTGCCCCCGTGACCCGACCCCAGAATAAGCAGAAGAAGATGAATGGATGGATAAAAGCTTGAATTTTAACTGATGTACGATTTTTGGATTAGAAGCAGGAATTGCACATAAAATGATCAGTTTAGCATTCTTTGAAAAATACATGTCACTGGTAACCTTTTATGCTTTAATTCTTAGAATAATAAATGACAGTTATTGATGATAACACAATCGCACTGTATCTCGTGATTTTTTTAGCATTATGAGTTTGTGTTGAGAAGGACTCAATTAAGAATTTAACTCATTTTCTGAAAAATTCACAGACATTTTTGCATTTTTAAAAAACAGTTGCTGCAGCCATCTTGAATTCACTCGACACACCAAAGTAATAAGTTTTAGATGGTTACTTTTTTACTTTTATGACCAAATTGACATGATTTCCTGTGCTCGTCAAATGTTTTCTATGTAGATGACGTTCTGTGTTAATGTGTGAGGCTGGACAGGGGTTTCATGTCAAAAGTCTCACCGTCAGCCCTCTGGGTCCAGTGGACAGGTCTGTCCTGGCACAGAGCCTGAACAGGCTCCTCCAGCGAGGACACGTTCACCCGACTGACCGCCAGGAACTCTGTCTGCCTCTGCGTGTTGTTAGCAGAAAGCTGAAACCAACTCTGTTGAGGAGAAAATTACAAAGTGAAAATCTGTACCTGACAAAGACTTGTYATCTTCTGACGAAGATAAATGAAGAAAACCAGTTGAAACTGAGTTTTAAGGAATCGCATTTACCCTGAAAAGGAAAAAAATACATACAGTATCTAGGAAACTGAAAGTAGCTTTTGATCTATCTCTTAAACCAGTCTTTCTCAAGCTTTTCAAAAAGAGAACCACCAGAAAATACAAAGCTGTCCAAAAACCACCATTACAACAAACAATAAAAATCATCAGTACAAGCTTGGTTTGAAATTTAGTTAACAAATCAACACCTTAAAATAATCACTTCTTTTTTTTTCAAGTGTTTTTGGAAATACAAAAAACTTAACCAAACATTTATCATATGACGTTTAGATTTCAGTCAAACTTGCAAAGATGGCTTAAGCAATTATTTTAGGAAGGTGTTGTAATTTAGTATTAAACAGAAATAAGCAAAACTAGTTGACTCTACTTATGTCTGACCTGAAAACTTAACTCACCTTTTTTATTCTAACCATTCAACTAATCCAGTTGGCTAAGGGAGACCAAACACTGAGTTCTGATCTTTGGCTGGGCCTTCCTTTAGTGGAGGTGTCTAATGGCCAAAACATCAGGTCAACATGGTGTCTGCTACTGAGGATGTGTCCCAAGACCCTCACAAACCTAAGGACACTAAATATTCTCAATAACTTAAGTAATCTTCACATTTTAACTCATGTAGATGGTCTTAACTGGCTGACAACAGCCTGTACCTACCTTCCATTTGACTCCAAATAGTTTCAACCACTGGATTGGTTCAGGACAGGAGGAACCATTGTGATATAAAAACCACCTAAACCTGGTTGAAGGGTGGGGTTTTAAAATGAGTTGGTTCTATTCCATTTGTTGCAGAGAAAAACACCACTTGCACTGAGGACTTGCCTCTTCCCTTGCATCCAAATGCTAGTATGAGTGCACAATATCCTCTAAATGAAATTATATATTTACTTTTAAATAGGCATAGTAACTCCATTAGGGTAGTACTCAGTCTGATTAGATTTGGGCGTAAAAGGGTCAAAAGTCAAGGTCATTTGTGATGATTGGTAATATAAAACTGGCATTTTTTTCTAATTCCTAGACAGTACAAATAAAATACCTGGTTAACAGACAGTTCACAATTTCAGTAGATACAATCTGATTCCATTGCCCCAATRTCTTAGAGAACAAATTCCTAGGTCACAAACTTCATCTGCTGTGTTTCCTTTGACAAACTCTCCAACACAATGGCTTGTGCGTACATGCTCACGCTAATATCTGCACAAAGTTGTGCTTTAAAGGTAGACATGTCTAGGGCCGGTGGAGTCATACCAATCAATGGTTTGGCATCGAGTTCCACCTTGTTAATCAAATTTTCTATACGGTCTTAGGACCTTATAGCAACTAAAGGTGCAAAATTGGTGCTGTTAAGTACCACCAGCATCGTCAGTATTGTCCAATTCAAGTTGTCATGGGGGTTCTCAAAACATTCTCCACAGTTTTGCAAAGATCCTAATTTGGTAGAACCACTTCTCTTTATCTCTTTACATCACAGCTTGTTTCATAACCTGTAAATATTTGATACTAAAATGGCTTGAGTACCACTTGTAGTAACAGTGGTCTTATACCACCTACACCACTTACGCCTCTGATTGGCTGCGATAGTGAACCACTTACAGCCCCCTTCTAACGGACTATCTTCCGTTACAACCCGTTTTACGATGTAAAAGATAACAATTATCCCTTGAAGTAACGTTTTTATCCCAACGATGAATGATGAAATGAGCACAAAGGCAGGCGTGTTTGAATGCCAGATATGTGACACCGCAAGATGGCAAAAACTTAACTGCAGCTTTTTTTGATGCATGGAAAAAGAAGCATCGTGGGTGAAGATGATAAGAAGCGCAGCTGCCTCTCGGTTTACTTGTGAGAACCCTCGTCGTTCAAAAAAAAAATCAGATAATGTGACAAAAGTCATTTCTGAGTGTGACAGGAATCAATTTGAAACCGATATGAGTATTTAAGTCACTATTAGAGATCCAGGTATTTGCCAACAAGCAGATACACACGGGCCCTTTGACTCTGTCGCGATGTATTTGAATCCAAAAGAGGCAACGCTAAAGAGCCCTGACACAGAGTGCCCATTGTGCCCTATTCAGGGTTGAGGCTTGCCGCTGTAGCCTCCTGTAAAAAGATCCTGAGCGCGCTGACGGGGGCTGAGGGGATCGGATGTGCTGAGGAATTCAGCCATGGAGGCCAAAGAGGGAGACTAAAAGGCACCTCAAGGCCCAAACGCTTCACCTCTCTCTTTGTGCGCCGCTGCAAGGAGATCATGGCAGAACTCCAGCAGGTCTTTGGACTGAAGAAACCCCCTAGTTACACATCAGTGAAGCTGACAGGGAAACTTTCTCTGTTCCGCATTATGAATTAAGAAAACCCTTTGAAGTAACAGAACAGTTCGAGTCTTGAATGTGCCGCTACCTGTTACCTCGTGTGTTGGTCGGTGGAGGAGGGAGTTCACGTTGTCGTAGTCTGACTGCTCCATCGTTCGGAGTAGGCAGATGTTCTGATCGACGGGTTTGTAACAAATCAAACCCTGAAACACAACAGATAGCTATTCTCATCATAGTTGCAGGAAATCATCAAGCAATGCTAAAATAACCACCCTGACGTACATGTTTTACGTCGTAGAGCACGGTGGACGTCTGATTCGCCGGCGAGGTCACAGAAAACGTCACAAGGCCGTTCTGCTGGTCCACAACAGCTGACTGGTTGAACAGAACGCCAGCCTCATCAGGTGCAATGATCCCCACAATCTGCAAGGGCTGCTTCCATAAAATCCAAATAAATAAATATAGATTTTGCACAGAAGTAGGGTTAGGAAGATAAGCAGATCATACCTGAGACTTGGGACCGGACAACCGGGGGTGCCTCATCAACCCAAGGGCAAAGATGACCAGGAACAGAAGGGCTGAGAGACCGATGATAAAAGTCTTTTGTAGGAAGTGGGCCCCATCCTGAAAATATGTTTTTGAATGCACGTTACTCAAAAGAATTAAAAAAAGACTAAACCAGCGCAGAGCAAAACCTGGGCTTACCRTGAACCGAGCTTCCTCCTCTGAATGCTTCCAGCACCTCACCATCCTGACCCGAGATGTCTCCTCACTCTGTCAGCTCCCGTCGCCAAGCTAACCGCATGGAGTTGTGGTCATGACCAGCACTGACTGAGACTCAGTACACCTGGCCAGCTTCTTTTTGGTCCCCACACCCCTTCAGACCTCCCCCTTTTCTCTTCCTCTTCC